GACCTGCACCTGCTCTTTGGACACTTCCACATTACCAAACATAAACGACCCTCTAGATGTGCTTGCTGTTTCCTCTTCGTCATCCGGTTCCCACAGTGGATCGGCCACCTCGTCTCCAATCACGCAGTCTTCTTCGCCCTCAATATCGAGGGTCCGTGAAAGGGATTCCGCAACCTGACATTACAGTACCACCGAGTGTCAGTGGAGCGAATGATTTGCATTTGTCGGTGATATCTTTCCTTTGGCTCTCTGCTTTGGACCAAGTGCAAATCGTATGCCCCACAAACAACTGCGACGTTTGTCAAAGATCGCGCGCTGACGCGTCGCATGCGACGGCTGCGGCGTGACCTAGTTTTGACGGACGCGCGCAACGAAGCGCGCCCGTCGCGAAGGCGCTGTAGTGTCAAGTGGCGCACTATCTCACACGCGCGGTCACGCGTTCGAATCCCTCTCGATGGCCGCTCGGACCAACCAAGCTTTTAATCTCTCCGGAGTTGGTTAATTGGTACCAGCACAGTGGCTTCCTCATTAATATTCAATTTAAGACTATTCAGAATTACTTACTTTGATGTTTCTCCTTAATTTGAATAGAGTCGTGCAGTCCAGGAGTAGAATTACGGTAAGGACCGCCAAGCTGGTATAAAAATCAGTGTAGGTAGAGATGACATGACCACAAACCGTGTCCGCGAATATCCAGACCCACGAAATGGGGTCGTAGTATATAAAGCAGGTATCAGCTGAAAAATGGAGTGAAAATTAATGGAGTATAAGAAACAGCAAGTGAAACAGTCGACGTTGTTCATCTTATTTGATCTGTGGGACCGTTACGTGAGGCACTGGAATTTGTATTATATATGCACCTCAGCTGCTCCAGTATCGAAAAAATTGAGTACATACTACGGCTCCCTTTAGCTAAGCCCAGTAAGGTAAACCGGGTGGGCACAAAGCAGATTGAACGAATGATGGGTCTCTTAGTTAAAGAGTAGTACACAGAGCAGTGGCATATGAAGCCGTCAAGATCTATTTGGTTCTCGCAAGTTTGAAAAGTGAAGAGGGAAAATTGAACTTTCAGGGAATTATTCATGGTCCTTTGATCTTCACCTTCCCAACTCACAGGTTGGCAGAACGGGGTCCTTGTGAAAAACGAAACAACGATCTCTGACGTACAATTTCGTTCAGAGCAATCGTCAGGGTTTAAGAGCGCTAGGGTCTGAATGAAACGTAGTTACTCTTTCATCCATATGAAGAAAGGTAAGTCGATAAATTTTGCCTTCATTCAATGAAGCAAGGAAGTTGATTTTTAGAGAATTAGGGAAAGAGATACTGTAAGCCAAGATACAGACGAAGGAACTCACTCCAAAAATAGGCGATAATATGGCAGAAACCAAGAAACCATGCAAATGCTACAAGTATAGCAGTATTCCTGAGGGTGAGTAGATTGGCAGCTTGATATGGTAGTGTGATAGCTATGAGCCGATTCAGTGAGATTGCTAAGTGGGAATACACGCACACGTCCCAGAACATGATGTTCACCATGCCGAACACTTTGCCAATCAACTCTGAGCTGGCACCATCTCGACTGAAACAGGGGGAGTTTACTAATTTTTCAATTTTTTCAAAGAACAGCCCTGGGGCTGTTTGCCTTTCTATCGAACTTCTTTTTTTTTCTTGTTTTCCAGCAATAAGGAATGGTGTAAACCCTATGTTATATACCAGGTACCACGAATATTGTAATCATTATATGGAACACCCCAGCACGGAGAACGTCCGTTGCGCGCGTCCGTCGAAAGTAGGTCACCCCGCCCACTTCGCGCGCCGCGCACCACACTGAGGTCTCGAGTTGACATTACAGTACCACCAAGAGTCAGTGGAGCGACTGATTTGCATTTTGTCGTGTTATCTGCTCTTTTGGCTGAATGCCGTGGACCAAGCGCAATTCGTATGTCCCGTTGACAACCGCGACGTTTGTCAAAGATCGCGGGCTAANCCCCCCCCCCCCCCCCCCCATCCCTCAGCACCAGCTGCCTACAGTACTTCACATGGGTGCTGAGCTAAGAAAGCAAGCTAATCAAGTTTGACAGAGGAAAACAGCGCTTCAGAAGAACGGCCTCCTTGGTTCTTCCAAGATTAGCTTCACATTGTACATGCTGACATTAGGTTGACATAATGTTGCCTCTCCTATCTATCATATAAACCTTTAGCCATTGCTGAGCATAAGAGTCATTCTGCGGCAGCTACTTTTACTTTCCATGGCGTGACTGGACCTTTTCCGAATTCCGAAAGTGATTTTCCTTCAGACGTAAATTGGACGAAAATGTACTCCATCAAGAGAGCAGCTACCAAGCGAAAATGAGAGGACGCGAGAAACATTGGCTGGACCTATCTCTTTGAGGAATAGGCCAATGCGACCTCCTCAATGCTGAACATACTTCATTGTAGATGATTGAATTGATCTAGTACTGTGAATTTTCTTGAAATATTTTTCCTTTTAAAAATTTTTGTTGAAATTTTCTCTGATTTCCTTGAAAATCGAACTGAAATCGACTTTCCAGTTGGTGAACATTCTTCTCCAAAGGACTAACTTCTGAGTGACCTCTGGTATACTGGTACTCGAAACAAAATTTACCCCCATTTTTATGCCTTGGCTGCGTAGAAGTGCTGTAGCTGTCCGATGCAGAAGTAGGAGTCTCACTTCATCATCAGTTTAAACCGGCACTGTACCTTTGACTTTAATTTTATATGAGGAATGATTCTTACATCACAGTTATTGGCGTCACCCACAGAGTGAATACGAGGAGAACACCAAAATTCGCAGAGCTATGTGAGAAGCAGAGCAAACCGAACGAATTCTTCAGTACTGGATTACATCTTACAGCTACCATAGCTGCACCGTTTGACATCAGTCCAAAAACACCCACCTAAATCGTTTTTTTTTTTTTGGAAATAATGAATTGAAAGTCTAGAAGAGCCGAAATTCCTCGCAAAACGTACGATTCCCATAATCGTTGAGATGCCAATGTTTTCCAAAGGGGTGTGGTGCACGATTGTGGAGTTTGACATCTGAAAAACATTATATTCAAAAAATTTCAATCCAAAAAAAAGGCTAGCAGGTTGAAAAGAAGCACACGACAGATATACATTGATAGATTGATTAAGCCAATTGCTGACAAAGTTCCTAAAGAATATCGAACACGACAATCGCTTCTTCTTGAACTAAGTGAAGTTCATGCACTGCTCACGTCCGTACGCTTCCAGTGCACCCGTCTGAACAACCTTAGGAACTGAGGCTTCAGCTTTACATTGGATTTATCCAAACATTTAACTTTTTCGTAGACAACACTCCAGCTGCTCAAAGAAGGGAGTTCCTTTGAGGTTTTATTTCATATAACTAATAGTTCCATGATTTCATATAACTAATAGGGATGTCCAGTTCAGAGACGAGTCTGAGAAGGTTCAAAGGAAAACAACCCATCAGAAGGTATGAGGCCTAGCCACACCAACAATGAAAAAACTTTCATTACAGTACCTTTATAATGGATGCAGTTGTTGTGCAGGAAGGGCGTGGCCTCGTTTGTCTAGACCACGTTCTGTTCATTGACACATTACTTCATACGATCAAAGGCCGAGTAAATGAAAAAGCCACANATGCAATGAGCAGATTTTAACGTCTAGTAAAGTTTCCTGAACACTGACCTTGCTGGTCAGTGGTCAACTTCACCCCAGTCACCTCAGTTTCCGATCACCTCAGTAATAAGCCAGGTAGTAAAAGCTACTGGAAACGCGTGAACTACAACTATATAGCTTATTGTAATAGTAAGAAACGATAAATAATTGGTTTTCGCAGAAATCAAAGCTTTTTTCGATTGAAAATATAAATCCTCGAAATCGCAATATTATATTTGGTCAACTTCATGTACCCATTCTATCTGCTCAACGGACAACTGTGTCTGATTTTTATGTTTACTTCGAGTCAGAACAATCTCCGAGCTTACAAGGTCGAAGGTCGTCCTGTCAAAAATCATGCAGACAGACTTCTCTGGACCTAAGTCAAACTCTGTGCTAATAATGGAACTCAATAAAACAACCACATACGTCGTTCTTCGGCGGAGGTGGCGTAGTGACAGAGGCGCCTTATCACATACGCATGTTTACGGGTTCGAATCTCGGATCTATATCCACCTAAACCGACGGAGCCTTCCATCCCTCCGGGGTTGTTAGTTGGTACCGGACTCATCTGGGAGGATAAAAACACTGACATTCACATTACATGGCTACCGCAACTCATTGTATAGGCACATACGCATTCAATACGCCACTACGACTCTGAATGGGAGTCGAATGCGAGGCACATCCTTTAGACGGAGTTAGTTAACGCCCATGACTTGATTCTTTATACTTTATGTGCCGTTCTCACACTTATTCGCGATTTCTTCTGAAGCTTATATATCGAGTTCTCCAGCAAATCTTGTCGGAATCTTCAAGAGTCAGTCTCTAGCCCCGAAACCGTCGATTATCCGCTAGGTCGTGGCACATAGCCTAGAAGGTTCTGACCACACTGAGGTAAAGCGGGTCATGAAGGGTCCTAACTGAAGTTGAAGACCACATCGTTTACCAACTTTGAGTCTTTCTGCTGGAAGACGAATAAAGAAGGAATTGCGTAATTCTCATTGGCGTTAGATCCTAGTGGGTGGGCCATTTGTAAAGATGCATAATAACTCCAGTGAATTCTAAAACGGCAGTTTATCGTAGTAGAAAATTTGACCGCTCTGCGCATCACATTCGTCATGAAAATAGGGGGAAAAGATTTCATTTTATAAGTCGGAAAAAGGGGCGGATGTGGTGTAGTGGCAAGTGGCGCACTTCACACATGCATGGTCGCGGGTTCGAATCCGNGGGGTCGGTTGGTCATACAAGACTCGTCAGGGAGGACAAGAGCTCTGACTTGTACATCGGCTGACCACCGCAAGTCATTGTGTTATGTAAAATAGCACAACCAAATAGAAAATAAATAGAAATACACTACGCATTCAATAGCCACTACGATTCTGATTGTATGTCGATTGCGGGGCGCATCCCTCAGACGGGATCGATTAACGCATTGATTAACGAAGTAGACGGTTTTGCAGTGCAGTTATATACGTAACTGTCCTATGGTGTACAACACAACCACAAAATAAGTACGTTTAGAAGAAGTGCTCATGTCAAAAAGACATTACACCATATCAAAAATCAATGTAAAAGGTTCCCTCGTACGGTTTCGTTCATGGTTCGTATTTCATAACCCAAGGTTAAGTCCAAAGTAAGTCGTTTCCAATCAGTCCCGTCTAAGCGTGGCGCCCACGCATTTGACTCCAATTTAGAATCGTAGTGGCCTATTGAATGCGGTTGTGGCCTATGTAATGACTAGCGGTTGTCGACCGATATACAAGCCGTTCTTTCACCTTCCCAGATGAGCCTAGTACCGATCAACTGACCTCGGAGTTGCTTTGTTGGCGTGGGCGGATCCAGACCAGCAATTCTAACCCGTGATAGTGCATCACTTGCCACCACCACCTTCGACACAACGTATTCTGGTGAAATTTGTTGTCAGCCGCAGATTTATAAAGTTGTCAGGNTTCTAACCCGTGATAGTGCATCACTTGCCACCACCACATCCGACACAACGTATGTTGGCCAAATTTGTTGTCAGCCGCAGATTTATAAAGTTGTCAGGCCTTCTTTGAAGCGATCCCTTTCGAAGAAATTGCTTACTCCAATACAAACTACCCTTTCTTGCACGTAATGTATGATACTAACCTATGATATCTCATATTGCTTTGGTGAGGCACTTCTCTTCTTTATTGATTATTCAAGAGTAAACTTGGATAATTTTGCCCGGCTGAGCACTTTTCTCTACCTCAAATCTGAAGTTTTAAAGTTCGATTTTACAATGGTGCCAATGAACTCAACAGGCGTACCAGTACTAAAGGATTCAGCTGTAAATCGGCAGAAGATCATCAATAATGAACGGTATACACAAGTTTTCATCACGAATACAAGCATATGAAAGTCCGAAAAGAAATCGCCGCACTCGTTCGTGGCAATACTCGGAATTCCACAGAGACAAACTTCAAAAAGCTGAGTCAGGCTGAGATACAGTGATGATTTTTTTACTTGACGTAATATTTAATTGGCAATTTCCCCAAGCGAATCCAGAGGCAGACAACAGGATGCGGATGAGAACTCGGAGCTGGAAGCTTGGAAATTCAGTAAAAGAATACTGAAAAATACTACGCAAAATGATTTTCAAAGTGTATTCATTTCACAACGTCAATAAACGGAGACCAGTAACCCGAGCGTGGGCCGGCGTAAGACTACAGACGTAATGACACAGGGCTTTATATAAATCTGCAAATGAGCTAGTCTGATGGTGCTCGATCCACCTGCTCAAGGCCTGGGTACTTGATGGACTTTAGGCTGCAAAGGTAATTAGCATGATCGATTCGTGCTATTTCGTATTCGTGCAGGAGCAGTTGCAAAAAAGCTATTGTTGTATAAGTAGAGGGCCTTTACTACCGACTATCGAACTGCCTCAATAACTGAGGAATTCCCCTCAGAATATTTCGAATGAAGTCGGAAAATCATTGGATATTATTCTATATTATGCTGTAGTAACAGATCATTACCCATCCTTTACTTCCTGACATTATAGGCCAGGAAGAGGGTGGATAAAGAGCTGATGCTCAAGGGCCTCTCATGACTTGTGGTGTACCCAGCTCACTATCATGAGAAAATGCATAACAACCATCTCAGTTACTGTAAATTGGTCTTGTACAGTTCATAGAGGTCATACCTAAAGTCAACGGGATTGCTAAAAATTGAACGACCACAAGCAGTTGAATGAATGAATTCACTAAGAAAGAGTGGAACCTTCGACTATGCAATACAGTCGGTCCAGCTTATTCTTTGCAGTTACTTCCGCATTAGAAAAGGGTTGGTCAATGCGATAAAGGTAGGCTACAACAATTCGAGTACTCCCTCCGTTCTTAAGTCATCGGACTTGGATCACACGCTCGAACAAAGCTCAATTCACTTCCGCTCTTCACAGGCGTGACTCAGATTCGTCATGTTTACTATGCCCGTTCACAGGCATACCACAAAAATGACTTCACAAGTTGTATGATTTCTTCAATACCCACCGCTCGACACTCGACGATTTCCCGCTGAGGCAACATTGTTGTACATAGGTAACTCATGAAAAATTGTTTGGGAAGGCTGGGCTAATTTGTGCTAATTGAAATCGCTTAATCCTGGCTCCAAGGGACCAATTGGTTCCCACTAATTCTTGAATCGAAATGAAAAATAAAGACAAGTTGTTTCGAAGTGGATATACTCTCGGCACGGAATACGAACGATTATCTTCTCCAACTTGTTCATCTAAAAGGCATTATTGATTGCACATTACTAGGTTTGAGAGACGGTGATATCAAGCATTTCATTGGGGATAAATTGAAAAAGGAAATTGTGTCCGCCTATTTTGAAAGGAAAAACTGTTTGATAAATGGGTGTGGTGCAGTAGGAACGAAATTGCCGCGTCGCGGTGAGAGAGATGCCGCGCGCGAATGAACGTAACAGAATGCAGCAGCAAATAAGAAGTCCAGGAACAAAAGATTTAGCAGTAGAATCATACCATAAATAAAAATCGCATAGCGATTGAGCCGTATGAAGAACGCTAGAACTGTCATAACGAAGCAAGTGGACCGCGACAGCCGCGGGGGCGAATCGATTACACGAAACCATTCCTACTGCCCGTCTCCCCGATCGATGTACAGGGCACTCATCCTTCTCTTTGAAGATGATTCAGCGAAGATTTTGTGAAGCGGACCAGTCTCGTCGCCATGCCTTCTCTTGCAGTCCTAGCTCAATACATACAAGGATGTGAGATTCTGGGCTCTGCGGTTTCTTACACAGCCTCGGTCGGTATACTTCTGTAGTTGTTCGTAATGGTTCATTTAGTCTTTGTTTCAAAATCGTCATGTTTTGTCTGATAGCAACTGTAGTCAAGTGGATCATGGGAGTTCGCGGGGGCTTTGGTCTTTGGCGATTTGTTGATTTGTATCCATATCTCATTAACAATCACAAGATTTGTACTTCTGAAAGGTTTTGGTTAAAAGTCATGAGGCGTCCGATAATGTTTTCATATAATTCCATTGAAGTGAGATGAAGACCAGATTCGTTAGCTTATGTTTTCCTATCCTCTTCAGCAGAGAAGAAATGTGGTCTTCAGTTTTCTGGTCATTACCAGCAAGTTGTCTGAACTACGAGCATTAAGGAAGTCGAAAAAGGGATCAGATATGGAGCCAATAGGCTCGATAGGAAACCTCCAAGATCCTAGTTTTAGCCACGACTGTCATTAATAAGCGTTAAGCATTGAGCTATGAGTGTTGAGCGTTGCCAGTGTTCCTGTCAATAAGTCCAGTCGTCGAGCGATACCGTCCGAGGTGGATAAACCCTTGATCGAGTTCTTATTGGCTAAGTTTTTCACTACTTCAATTTCTATGGACCTAATATTTTTCTTCCTCGACTACTATGGTAATATGACGACAAAAGCCTCCCAATTATAGAGCTCCGCCTGGAAAATAACATGCTCCAATGCTAGCACCGTCAGCGACGTAGCGAGCGTCATCGCTGCTTTGACACTTCGCGCCCAATGCTCAGCGCTCTACTTTGGAAGCCCCCATTTCCATTCCGCACGATTTCATGTTCAAAACTGTTCTACAAACAGCTTTTGGGAGTTTGCTTTTGCATGTCCCTTTTGTCCGTTAAATGCACCAGGTATATTGACTCAGATGAAAAAATAAAATACTGGCAATTTGAAATAAGTGCAAGCCCCAATTGGGAAAAGTTGGTGGTGCAAAGACGTAGCCATGCCTCGCAACTTGTAACTCTCTTCGCAAAAGCGAATTAATATGGCATACTAATGACACGTCGAGCTCTTAGTAAAAAGAAGGTTATAATCAAGAGAGTGTTTCGACGAGTATTTCCAAGCCTACCCGCATCCATAAGATAACATAAAATAAGCTATCGTACAAGTTCTCTAGATAATCCCAACGGTTAGCAATCAACCAGCTTGAAATCATCCCTGCACATCATTTCATCCCATATACTCAATATTCGAGGCAGAAGAGACAAGAGAAGCTGCTACTTTTCAAGGTTTTCAGGCGTAATTCATCAGTTCTGCAGGCTCAAGAAAGTATGCGACGATGAGCATTGTACAGGCATTACGTTGCAGGAGCCCATGACAAGCTCTAAACACCGCCCTAGAGCTATACACCCAAGTACGCCCTAATTACTGAAAGGTAAGGAATGCTATCTGCTCTACAATTCCAGCAATCCCCACCTCTGCAATCCTACTGTAAAATGTCCTGACGCCAACTTATCAATTACCTAGCTTATAAGCTTCGCTTTTCCATAGTCTTCGTTGGGCACATTCTCGTGATTGCACAAGATGCTCACAATCAGTGACGCGGACGAGTTGATGTTCGCCAGATTCCATTTTTGACGTCACAATGACAGCAGTTCAATGGAGCAAATCTAATGAAAACTAGCTCTTTCAATTCATCTGTGTTACTTCCGGGTTGTACGCAGTAATCCTTACTAGAAATTTCGGTTCTTCAGTAAGNCCGATCTCGGTTTTATAATGATATGGTAGCACGAACATGCAATATTACTAGGTATTTCTAATATTTTGACAAAGGAGGACGATTATGGAGAATGGCCCATGTCCGTCCAGAAATCTGTCATCAGTCCGACATCATTTAACGTCGTCTGGGTCTCGATATTCCGAAGTAAGTCGAACTCTGCAGCGTCCATGCTTGTTTCCGCATTTCGAACACTAAAAATAAGTTGAGACAAAAGGAAACACGAAAACTTAAAAACTCTAACCTGGCAAACACTTTTTCATCAACCATTGTACCAAATGTCCTTGCTAACGGCGCTTCGAGTGCAACACCATCTCCAGTTCCTCCACTGTACACCTCGTCCAAATACTGCCTACTTGTGCTTGTTGTCCTATTACGTACCCGTGTTTGTGGCAACACACCACTGTCGTACTGATATTGGAATCCCTAAAAACATTACCACTCAAAATGCAGCACTTTCAACGACTCAGGTCAAGTTTGGAGATGGTGCAGTGCCACGGACGTATACATCCTATCATGGACACACGATCAGAAAACAAATGCCCTGTTTAATACCCAATCAGGCCTTGAATAAATAAGCGGTTGAATGATTGGTGGTATACTCGTCTAAGAGTAAGCCGCTAAACTGTACATCGGTCAACCAGTGCAATTTATTCTACAGGTCACATACACATTCAAAACGCCTCCTAGAATGAAGTCAAACGCTGGGGCGCATTCCAAAAGGAATTGACTAAAACCGAAAATTTTATCTTTCTTGTCGAATCTGATATTTTATAACCAAACGTCGAACGGCATTGAATTTTCAACGAACATTTTGGATCATAGTAGCCGCTATTTGCTCGTTGAACAATCCTATCATTGTTGCGCCATGCCTAGGCCCACTTTCTGGACCAACAATGCCCCTAGCCCTTCTCAGAAGCCATGGATTCCTACCAATGGAAGTTTTCCACAACTATTCTGATACCTTCGCATCCCTTAGCAAACTGCGCCGAAAAAGAGTGTCCCTTTGTCCCGAAAGTTCTGTGGGCATTTCTATCAACTCGAAACATAAATAGACACCAGAAAACAAAAGCTAGCATTTGTTTCTAACATTTTCACTTTTTATCAGTGAATTATGCGATTCTATCAAATAGAAAACCCACAAACGCATCACTCACCACTTCCGACGTTTGCTGAGCTTCATAACAAATTGGATTTTGAGTGTAGTCCAATAATTGTCCCTCAGTGCTTGATGATGCATTCGCTGTGTTAGGGCAAGCCGATGGAGGAAAGAAGTATGGCGAAGGTGAATTGAATTGGCCGCCGAAGTCATAGCAGGACGGTTGGTCCTGAACATATCAGCTTTACTTAGGTTCAACACGTCTGCAACATTGTCAGCTCTATTTGAGTTTATAGAACTGCTCAATACACAATGATTCCAATTTTCCCAGAGTTTCCCCTAGTTTCACAGTGAACCGACAGAAATGGTATTCTGAGGTTTTCCAAGATAATCCGATGTTAGCAAACCTTCGTGATACATAAGTGGAGTCTCTACAGTACGGGGGTCTCTGAGTAGTCGTGTGCAACAGATAGAAGTTTGTATCACCCTTAGAAAATCAACAATCAACAGCAAAAATACGGCTATCATTTGATGAGTTCTCGCCTGTTTTCTTTAGCTTTTTCCACGTTTGTCACCAGCCTGGCAACAATATTTCAATCATGGAGTTCCAGGGCATACTATATGCCTCAACGAAACTAATTTAGTAGCTGTTTTGCACTTCATTTAGGGGTCAATATGAACAAGTACACATTCTCTCAACATCTGTGCCGTAGTCTCTCGTAGCCGCTTCGAACAGCAAATTTTGCACTCGAAATCAAAATTCTGTGGGAATTCGGATGAGCCTCTATGGGCTCACCCATCGGAATTAATCGGAAAACATTACTGGTAAATATACAAAGTCTGAGAGGATAAAGGCACTGATATGTACATCAGCTGTTCACCGCAAGTCATTCTGTAGCCCATATGTATACACATTCAATACCCCGCTACGATTCTGGATGGGAATCGAATGCGAGAGCGCATCTTCATACGGGATTCATTAGGCCCAAAAAAAAATCTTTTAACCTGAAGGGAACCTCAAACAAACAGAATCGAACATTGTCTACAACATGGTGCAGACTAGCAGAAAATTCTCTGGCGCCCTATTTAGCATAACCTTCATTGAAGTCCATGAAGGCACCGTTTACGATAAATTCAGGGTACCCTTTTTTAACGGGAATTGATAGAACTACTCTAGAATAAAGCGGTAACAACGAAAAAAGCGCAAAAAACGATGAACAAAAAGAAATACAAAAGGTCAAAAAAGAGCTGGAAAGGGGGGTTGGACGAGTTTCACATTGAGAGAACGGCGGTCAAGGGAGTGTTTGGGCGAGTGCACCAAGGCGACGCAATGTCTGTAATTGCAGACATCACACCCAAACAGCTGTTTTCGCCTTTCGCAATTACATGACACTGTGTCGTCTACATCTCGTCTGACGTGACATCGGTCAAGGGGCGGAGACGCGAACTACGGCAACAACAGGGCCGCCACTATGCCCTGGACGTCGAAATGGGGGGAGTGAGAGGGTCCCTTCCACAAACCATGGGGGCCGCTGAGTATTAACAAGTAAGAACTCAATAACCTTTTTTTATCGTGAACGGTGCCTTTAACAGCGAACGTTCTAAAGAAAATGAACCCTTACCACACCCTTTCCGTGGTAAACTATACCTGCAACAGTGAATAACATTGTAACAAACCATTCCTACGGCGACTGTGTTCTTCTCCGCCACAGATGTATCACATTCGTAGCCATTTGGAAGAACCTGCACAGACGTCTCACACGTCGTCCGGAAAACACTGGAATAGCCTTATACTGAACGGTGTTGGAAAAAAAATTGTCAAATCGTTGTCAAATCCTACGTACAATCTTTCAATGGAAAACGAATAACAAAACAACTAAAATGGCTCGCGATTACGGCCAGTCACAAGTTTTTCTGTTTCACTTCTCATACACAATCTATTAGACACCATTCACAACAAGTTCAATACGCAAAACCATCATACCTTTTCAAAGCTTCAACGGTTGCCGCGATGTTATCTGTAGGCACAACTAAAATCACCGGCTGAATGATTTGTTGGCTGAAAGAAATGGTTGATTGACTGCAAAACAAAAAAACGAGTAGCAACATCTACTCAGTTTCGCCAGCACTTGGTGATCTATTCTTATGCTTATAGTCTTGCCAAGCTTAAAAACTGGACTCTGGTAATTTTCACTGAAAAAAATCGCAGAATGGGGTCCTCATTATACAAAACAAAATTCAGAAACCGAGGTTCGAATTTGAAAAACACTTCCGTAATCCTTCAGGTTTGAGTTATTCGGTAATGACAGCGAGAACTACATGCATATTACTTCACGTAGAGCTCGATCGCTAGCCTTTGCTGGAATCCGCACTAAAAGCCTACTAAGGTAACATCTTTGTTTATTGTCACTCAGTTTCATCGTTTTCAAACAAAACTACAAAAGAGCTGTTGTTACGAAAATATACAGGATTGCTGTTAAGTCCATGTTGCAGGCGAGTCCTTGAAAATGGCAGGCAAAAGAAATATCGCTGCTATGTGGCTGCGACAAATTTTATCCTCCTACAGAAGTCCATCTGGTAACCCGATCAACGGACATTATGATATTTTGATTGAATTTTTTTGAAGACCATTCCACTGGGAGTAGAAGCATACATGGCAAGAATCGAATTAAACTGACGACTAGTACAGGGCCACAGCAGAATTGGAAATCATAAGCTGCACCAACCCCTTAGCTTTTGCTGAGGATCACCGCGATTTTCCATCGATCCAACTACTGGCTATGACGAGTTTGAGTAATCTACTATCCACAATCGTTCAGGAAAGGAAAATTCAGCTCGGGTGAAGGTGCCATTTCGAAAACTTGCACTCTTGTCTCCATGTCCGGCATACCACACTTGAAGTCTTCTGTGTTGCTGCTGAATGCAAAGAGGATATGCATTCTCGTTCCGTAATGTTTATGACACGGCGGAGGTGGTGT